TGCTAAATCAATGGAATTGAAGTCATACTAGTGAAATAGCCAAGAATCTGGTTGACTAGATCAATGTAATTGGCCTAAAGTAGGACTCAAAGTGGGCGAAATCGCCGATGCATAAATATTGCCGAGACCACTAACTTTGCAAAAACATAATTTTGTAAATTTTTCATCAAATTTCACACTTTTGGTATCATTACCTTTGGAAAGAGATTCTGTCATTTCATAAGAAAAATAAAAAAAAAACTTGAAAATTCTTGGATGCCATGGACAAGTTTCAGATTGGGGATCTGAACCCCTCAAAGAGTTAACATCAGTGGCAAAGTGACCCAAAGGAATGGTGATCCAAACAAAGCAACTCATTTGCCATCTTTCATTCAATCACTGTCTTTCCAGAAGTATGCTGCCATCACATTTCAGATGACCCTCCAAATGCAACATCCCCCACCCCTCCTTCAGAGTGCAGGTACTGCCCTTCCCACTTCCAGGGCTCAAGTCTGGCTGAATAGTTTCTCCTGAGCCCCTTCACAAAAGTTACCTTGCTCACACTCCAACAGCACTTCTATAATAAAAAATCTTCTCTCAATTCATTCCTATTTAACACTCACACAAACCTGCTGGATGCTCAGGCCCCTAGAACTCAAAGCCTCCCTTAACCCTTTCCTCCAACCAGGGATGACCACCTTCCCTCCTGCCTATTATCCCAGATTTATACAAATTCATCATCTTATTCCTTTCCATCCTCTCTACATGTGCAGAACCACCTCAACACCCTGTCCTCAGCACTCTGAATTATACACTTGGTAAACACACAGCCCAAAAAATTAATTCTTGTCTCTGTGGGAAGTTTTTGAAAAAAAAAAAAAAGTAATTTTTTCCTTACAGTTCAATATAGTCATTTGTTATTTTTCTGACTTGAACAAGATTAAAATGAGTGGAATCTGATAAAAACTTATCACTTATTAGCAACAGTGGCATAAAAGTGTCAGTGATATTTCCATATTACAGTTTATTGATGCCAAGATGATTGTTTTCCTTTTTTTTAAATTGCTAATTGCTTTTAATGTTTAACACTATGTACACTAGGATCTTATGATATTAAATGTGTTTTAGTATTTCAAATATGGGGAAATGCTTAGCCTGACATTGTGCCACTTGGAATACGGTATAATTTTTTTTTTTACTACTTTAGTCTTTTAAGGCTATGTACATGGAATACTTATAATAGTACAATTGTTTTAAAGCGTATTACATCTCAAAACATTATAGCAGCACTAACTAAAGTCAAATTGAACTTCAACATTTCAATAGGAAATTTTAAACCAATGTGATTATCAAATATGTACTAAAAAAAATATCCCAGCATCCAGCAACAACTTACTACAGCAAGAGATATGGTAGGAAGTGTAAAATAAGTACAGTCAGCCCTCTATATCTGGGTTCCGCAAATGCAGATTCACACCAACCACGGATTGAAAATATTTGAAAAAAAAAAAAAAAAAAAAAATCCAGAAAGTTCCAAAAAGCAAAATTTGAATTTGCCACACACCGTATACTATGCTGAATCCATGTGAATGAAGTGATGTGTGGGCAAACAATGCTCACTGTTTGATCATTGTTCACCTTGCATCTCATTTGTTTGCTACTTGTGTTGTGTGCACCCTTTGTTTGTGTGAAAAAATGGCTCCTAAAAACCAATTAAATGGTCAAAGCAATCCCTCAAAGGCTAAGAGGGAGCATAAAGTGCTCTCTCTCGATGAGACAATAAAAATCTTAGATCTTTTGACAAGTGGCACATTGCTTGCTGAAGTGGGCTGTAAGGTCAGTAAGAATGAATCGAGCATTTGCAAAATTATGCATGAGAAAGCACTTGGCCCTTATGAGCACTACTGTGAGGAGGTTGAGGAGAGAGAAAAGAATTTAAGGGTAGTAAGGGATGGCTGGCTAGCAATGTAAAGTGCTACAGCCTCAAGAACTCAAGGAGGGGGGTGCAGTGTGCACTGGCTGGCGGGTAAAAATAATTAAAAAAAATTTTGAAAAATAAGCTTAAAGAAAAATATTTCAACAATCTAGCAACATTTTGGTGTAAGTCTCATCTTCTTATGATGTTTCTATAACAAATTATAGTCACTACAACATTTCTGGTAAAGATACCACACCACAGTTAGTACAGTGGAACCTCAAAAATCGAACTGCTCCCAACACAACCAATTATGTAAGTGTATTTTTGTAAGTGCTTTTATAAGTGTATTTTTGAGGGTCTGAAATGGACTAATCTAATTTACATTATTCCTCATGGAAATAAATTCATTCGGTAAAAGCACTCGAACAGCCTTCTGGACCAAAGAAAGTTCGATATTTGAGGTCCCATTGTATATCCCCACACATGAAGTGGATTCTCAGCATCTTTTTATTTTGTCCTCTAATATATTAAAATCATCATTTGGCATCATTACAAAGTGGGAGGAGCTATGGCAGACCAGGAAAAGGCCAGGAATGATGATAAGATGTCATGAAGGAAAGAAGGATGTTGCTCATGGAGATATACAAGGTTGTATATTTATGCTGTTACTGACCATTTTAGTTATTTATCATGTCTTCCAAAATGATATTGGACATATGATTAATAACGTACAAACATTATACAGACACCCAAATGAACAAAAACTGACAAATTTGAGGAGTGATCAGCAGACGAGCAGTACAAGATTATAATTTACACTCTCTGGTCCACTAATACAGTGGACCCCCGCATAACGATTACCTCCGAATGCGACCAATTATGTAAGTGTATTTATGTAAGTGCGTTTGTATGTGTATGTTTGGGGTCTGAAATGGACTAATCTACTTCACAATATTCCTTATGGGAATAAATTCGGTCAGTAAATTTCGTCTGGCACCTGAACATACTTATGGAGTGAAAAAATATCGTTAACCGGGGGTCCACTGTAATATGCTTATCTGCATTTTCCTCGATATCTCAGAAGTAAGTTATTGACCTATTTACTAAAAGAACTCCATTATTAATGAACAGATTGAAAGGATTCTCACAATAACCATTAAACAGTGGTGGAAATTGTGAAGCCTTGACCTCTAACATTTGAAGATCTTCAGTGGTTTGGTGAGCATCATCATTATTACCTAAACAATACAGTATAACAACTATTTACATAGCATTTACATTGTATTAGGTATTATAAGTAATCTAGAGATGACTTAAAGTATATAGGAAGATGTGTGTGTAGGATATATGCAAGTACTATGCCATTTTATATAAGGGACTTGAGCATCTGAAGATTTTGGTATCCATAGAGAGTCCTGGAACCAATCCTCCGTGAATACCAAGGAATGACCATACAGAGAGGAGCAAGGATGTCATAGGCATAATAAAAGAACACTGTGTCATTATCCATGGCCCAAGACTCTTCAACTTGCTACCAGCAGATATTAGAAATACTGCCAGAACAAATGTAGAAGTGTTCAGGAGGAAGGTGGACCACTACCCCTGCCAAGTGCCACATTAACCAGGCTGTGAGGGCTCTGGATCAGTGGGCCATTTACACCAACAGCCTAGTTGAAAAGGCACTCAACAAAGAAGATAAAGCAAAGGCCATGCTGGTAGGATAGAAAAGTCCTAAACATCAGCCACAGGTACATCATAAAATACTGTGTATTATTTCCATAATGCAATAGGGGCCTTTATAATATTTTTGTTGCGCTCTCTTTTCCTGACTACAAAATGTGTTCCCTGGGAGTCAGTGTATTAACAATACAATTATTTCCAAGTGAATATTTATAAGATACTCGGAGGGTTTATAGAAAATTTTTAACCTTTACCTAAATAATTTTCCACCTTTGCTGGACAAATACCTCACTACTTAACTCTTTGACTGTCGGCGTCGTATATATACGTCTTACAAGCCAGTGTTTTTGACACATTAATATGCCAAAATTCTAGCGGCTTTAAATCAAGCGGGAGAAAGCTGGTAGGCCCACATGTGAGAGAATGGGTCTGTGTGGTCGTGTGCACAGTATAAAAAAAATCCTGCAGCATGCAGTGCATGAGAAAAAAGAACTGACCATGTTTTTGGATTAAAACGTCAATTTTTGGATTAAAACATTAACTTCAAGGTGTATTTTCACATAGTATTTATGGGTGTATTCTCGTTTTCTTGGTCTCATTTGATAGAATGGAAGACACGTCACAGAAATGGAGATAATTTTGATTGGTTTCACGATGAAAAGGACCTTGAAATTGAGCTCAAAGTAGCGGAAATGTTTGATTTTTGCTGACGTTCAAGAGTAAACAATAAATGTCCAACTAGCCATTCTAATACGCAGTCACGAATGGGTTGACATTATTTATACAATTATTACAATAATGCAGTAGTCTGCATAACAGTAAATCTTCTATTTTTGTGTGAATAAAAATTCAAAATAGAAAGCAAGAGTAATATAAGAGGGGCCTGGAGATGTGACTGATGAACAGAGAAAATGTTATTTTAGTGCCGGTAATGTCTGCATTGTTTATTCTGGACCCTATTTTAAAATTGGCATCTTTTTTAATTTACATGACACTGACCAAATTGCCAATTTCTGACCACTTTATTGGGTAGTTGAAATTGGTAAATGGGGGTTTCTTGTACTCAATCGATAGAACAAATGGTCGACTGGAACAACGGAACTGGCCAAAAATAGGGTGGGTGAAATCACCAATGCGTATATATCGCCAAGATTGCTAGCTTCGCAAGAGCATAATTCCATAAGTTTCCATCAAATTTTTTACTTTTGGTGTCATTACCATCGGGAGAAGATTAACATTTCATAAGAAAAAATAATTTTTTTTTTTTTAATATTTTGCAACACAGAGAGACACTTCAGGATTTGGGGTCTCGACAGTCATAGGGTCAATGAAAGTGAAAACAGTAAAGATATCTGTTTATATATGGTGTGATAATAATGTTTACTACACTAGGTCAATATCAAATAACTACATCATTACTTACCCCTGGGCCCCAACGTGGCCCTCCAGTCACCCAACAGATCTCTGTTCGACACATGGGACACCTCATCCAGTCACAGCCCCACTTTCTCATTAGCATCACTGAGCACTTTGGACATGGTAAACCATCTCCTCGACGAATCATATCCTTACGGAAAAAGTTACAATCAGAATGTTAATTTTCAATAAATATACAGCTGTTATATATGACTCATGATTTTTAAATGAAGATAATCTAAAACTAAAGCAATCAGCATAATTTGATCAACTTGGGATTATTTGACAAAATTAAGTTACAAAAAAAGCTACTGGTGTTCTTTGCCTCATATGATAGATGTCATCCTGTGTGCAAGATAGTATTACTGGGGTAACTGTAGAAAAATATTCCTTTCATATGCCTTCACTCATTATAGTGTATGGCATGAGAATGGGAGTGTTGTTATATATGTATTCTTCTACACCACAGTGAAGACAACTTGTACACAATGTAAGGCATTTGAATTGTGGGAATAAAGCTTCACAAACGCATGCATAATGCTTAGTGAACACGTATACACAGCAAGTGGACAGGTATTAATATGCTTTTCGTCTGACCTCCCACAACCCATTCTCTCTCGTTTATGACGGCATCTAAGGGGAGTTGTGATATAAAGAGGAATCATAAGGCTCTTACTTTAAATGCCAAGTTAGAAATGATTAGACTCAGTGAACGAGGTATGTAGATGGCAATAGGCATAATAATAATCGGTGTGGGGCACTTTAAATGTCGTAAATTACAATACAGACATTTTCATTAACCCATAAATGGTCCAAACGTATATATACGTTCTTACCGTTAGTGCCCCAAAAGTATATTTACGTTTTATTTTTTCTGCCTCCAAATTTGGCACGATTGGACCGAGATGCCTGGTCAGCATAGAATGGATCTTAACACTCGGTGTGCACTGTATTAAAATAATCTGGGACCACTTAGTACCTTGTGGGAGCACCAGTTAAACTGAGCGCCAGCTAGAGAAAACAGCGCGGCAAACACCAAGGATTCACTGATGCCATATCATAATAACACTCCCCTTTTAAGAGGAAAGTGATGCTGACCCTAAGTTCAGTGGTCGAGGAAATATCAAAAACCTCGATAATAACCCATGTCCAACATTTGTGCAACACCCTTTCAGAATGTCTTATAACCTATGCCCTAAGTAAAGGGAAACAATTCTGTATCTATGTCTATCTCTGTCTGTCTATATCTGTCTCTGTCTGTCTCTGTCTCTATCTCTTTCTCTTTCTCACAGGTACACATAAATACAGTTATACATAGTGTAAATTACCGAGGATAACCTAAAAAATCTGAAGTGCTATACCGTGCTTGTAGATATAATGCGTAAGAATACTTGTTGGTTCATCAAATGTCACTCCTTATCTCATCTTATCACTGCACCCTTGCTGGCACTCATCAAATTTCACCCCTTATCTCATCTTATCACTGCACCCTCGCTGGCACTCATCAAATGTCACCGCTTATCTTATCTCCACACCGATGCTCATCAAATGTCACCACTTATTTTATCACTGCACCCTCACATGGGCTCGTCAAATGTCACCACTTATCTTATCTCATCACTGCACCCTCGCTGACGCTTGTCACTGATACTTGTCTTGCATCATGCTTCAAGGGAACTTATTATTACTATATACTCTTGTGTATCCAAAACATTGCTGTGACCTATAAATACTTTGTATATATTCCTAGACAATAGTAAATGACCAAGGCAGGTGTAAATGTGCACCTGTCAATGTGTTTGTGACAATCTGAGTACAATTTCAGTACCTAATATTAGTGTCAGAACAAAGATTGGTTATGAAATGACAAGAACTACTGGCTGGCCAGCCGGCCACCCAGCCAGCCAGCCACCCACCCAGCCAGCCACCCACCCAGCCAGCTAGCCACCCACCCAGCCAGCCAGCCAGCCAGCCAGCCAGCCAAGGAAATGTCAACAATTTCTGTTTTGCACTTTTGTGCAAATGATAATGATGTTATATGACAAATTTATTCCTGATAGCTCTGAAAACCCTAGGATCCACAGACTGCAGCACATAGGAACTACCCATTGCTTCATAATTAAGGAACGTATAATTACTTACGTCAAAGAACTTTTTAGTTTTCATAGCAGCCTCATCGACCTTTTGTGCAAGATCATCCTGGTATGCTTGACATGTGATGCCTTCATGCTGAGCCTGCAGGAGGAAACTTAAGTGAAAATATCCCAAAAGCATAATTTATCCTTCATAAAAATCTAAAACAACAATCTTTCCTTAGAATTGTCCTCTGTAACTATTTGTTTGATGCCTTTATTTTATCACACAGTTTACACAATACTTTGTATAGCCTGTTTTCACTTCTCCACCTTAATTATTCAACTATAAAGCACATGGCATTTCCTTACATTTTATTTAATTACCCATCTCTTACTACATTTGCTCAAGCTGCCTAAGTCAGGGCTAGAGAATTCTTTTGAGAATGTGTGCCCAAATTTAATGAAATTTTCACAAAAAATTCTTTTGTATGCTCATGATTATTTTATATATTACTATAATTATTATATTATATATTACATACAGCATAGATCAGGTCAGGTTTATTTAAGAGAATCAGAACTGTTTGATCCCATTGTTCTACATCAAGAGTTCAGCTCACTCAGATAAGTTGTGAGTGGTAAATTTGGACCTAGATATGAGAGAATGGATCTTTGTAGTAAGTGTACACCAAATAAAAAAAATCCTGCAGCATGCAGTGCATAATGGAAAAAAGTGCAACCGTGTTTTAGGTTTAAAACAGTGACTTTGAGGTGTACTTTTGTATGGGTTTCATTGTTGTATTCTCAGTTTCTTGGTCTCATTTGATAAAATGCATATTTTACAGAAATGGAGATGATTTTGATTGGTTTCAGGACTGAAAGTAGCTTGAAATTCAGCTCAAAATAGCAGAAGTGTACGATTTTTGCCAATATTCCAGGGTAAACAAATTACATCATCCAATATACATTTTTTTTTTTATCACACTGGCCGATTCCCACCAAGGTAGGGTGGCCTGAAAAAAGAAAAACTTTCACCATCATTCACTTCATCACTGTCTTGCCAGAAGGGTGCTTTACACTACAGTTTTTAAACTGCAACATTAACACCCCTCCTTCAGAGTGCAGGCACTGTACTTCCCATCTCCAGGACTCAAGTCCGGCCTGCCGGTTTCCCTGAACCCCTTCATAAATGTTACTTTGCTCACACTCCAACAGCACGTCAAGTATTAAAAACCATTTGTCTCCATTCACTCCTATCAAACATGCTCACGCATGCATGCTGGAAGTCCAAGCCCCTCGAACACAAAACCTCCTTTACCCCTCCCTCCATCCTTTCCTAGGCCCGACCCCACCCCGCCTTCCTTCCACTACAGACTGATACACTCTTGAAGTCACTCTGTTTCGCTCCATTCTCTCTACATGTCCGAACCACCTCAACAACCCTTCCTCAGCCCTCTGGACAACAGTTTTGGTAACCCCCCGCACCTCCTCCTAACTTCCAAACAAACGAATTGTCTGCATTATATTCACACCACACATTGCCCTCAGACATGACATCTCCACTGCCTCCAGCCTTCTCCTCGCTGCAACATTCATCACCCATGCTTCACACCCATATAAGAGCGTTGGTAAAACTATACTCTTATACATTCCCCTCTTTGCCTCCAAGGACAAAGTTCTTTGTCTCCACAGACTCCTAAGTGCACCACTCACCCTTTTCCCCTCATCAATTCTATGATTCACCTCATCTTTCATAGACCCATCCGCTGACATGTCCACTCCCAAAATCTGAATACATTCACCTCCTCCATATTCTCCCCTCCAATCTGATATCCAATCTTCCATCACCTAATCTTTTTTGTTATCCTCATCACCTTACTCTTTCCTGTATTCACTTTTAATTTTCTTCTTTTGCACACCCTACCAAATTCATCCACCAATCTCTGCAACTTCTCTTCAGAATCTCCCAAGAGCACAGTGTCATCAGCAAAGAGCAACTGTGACAACTCCCACTTTATGTGTGATTCTTTATCTTTTAACCCCACGCCTCTTGCCAAGACCCTCGCATTTACTTCTCTTACAACCCCATCTATAAATATATTAAACAACCACGGTGACATCACACATCCTTGTCTAAGGCCTACTTTTACTGGGAAATAATTTCCCTCTTTCCTACATACTCTAACTTGAGCCTCACTATCCTCATAAAAACTCTTCACTGCTTTCAGTAACCTACCTCCTACACCATACACCTGCAACATCTGCCACATTGCCCCCCTATCCACCCTGTCATATGCCTTTTCCAAATCCATAAATGCCACAAAGACCTCTTTAACCTTATCTAAATACTGTTCACTTATATGTTTCACTGTAAACACCTGGTCCACACACCCCCTACCTTTCCTAAAGCCTTCTTACTCTTAATTCTTTCAATAATAACTCTACCATACACTTTACCAGGTATACTCAACAGACTTATCCCCCTATAAGTTTTGCACTCTCTTTTGTCCCCTTTGCCTTTATACAAAGGAACTATGCATGCTCTCTGCCAATCCCTAGGTACCTTACCCTCTTCCATACATTCATTAAATAATTGCACCAACCACTCCAAAACTATATCCCCACCTGCTTTTAACATTTCTATCTGTATCCCATCAATCCCGGCTGCCTTACCCCCTTTCATTTTGCCTACTGCCTCACGAACTTCCCCCACACTCACAACTGGCTCTTCTTCACTCCTACAAGATGTTATTCCTCCTTGCCCTATACACGAAATCACAGCTTCCCTATCTTCATCAGCATTTAACAATTCCTCAAAATATTCCCTCCATCTTCCCAATACCTCTAACTCTCCATTTAATAACTCTCCTCTCCTATTTTTAACTGACAAATCCATTTGTTCTCTAGGCTTCCTTAAGTTGTTAATCTCACTTCAAAACTTTTTCTTATTTTTAACAAAATTTGTTGATAACATCTCACCCACTCTCTCATTTGCTCTCTTTTTACATTGCTTCACCACTCTCTTAACCTCTCTCTTTTTCTCCATATACTCTTCCCTCCTTGCATCATGTACATCCAAATAGTCAGTCTAATATGTGTCCACAAATGTGCTGATATTATTTATACAATTATTACAATACAGCCTCTCCTCACTTAATGACTGAATTCCGTTCCTAAGACCACATCGGTAAACAAATTCGTCGCTAAGCAAGGAGCATACTCTAATGGTAGTTTTAATGATATTGTTTTAATGTCACCTTTGCACCATTTATAACATTTTTAGTATACAGCCACACTTCACTTAACAATGGAGTTCCATTCCTAAGACCATATCCGTAAACAAATTCGTCGCTAAGTGAGGAGCATACTCTAATGGTAGTGGGTTTGTGTCAACTACATATCTTTGATATTGTTTTAATGTCACCTTTGCACCATTTATAACATTTCTGGTGTATTTTTAAATGTTTATACAGTAGTGTACTATCTTTCTTTCTTTCAACACACCAGCCGTATCCCACCAAGGCAGGTGGCCCAAAAAAGAAAAACGAAAGTTTCTCTTTTAAATTTAGTAATTTATACGGGAGAAGGGGTTACTAGCCCCTTGTTCCCGGCATTTTAGTCGCCTCTTACAACACGCATGGCTTACAGAGGAAGAATTCTGTTCCACTTCCCCATGGAGATAAGAGGAAATAAACAAGAACAAGAACTAGAAAGAAAATAGAAGAATACCTAGAGGGGTGTGTGTATATATATGCTTGTACATGTATGTGTAGTGTGACCTAAGTGTAAGTAGAAGTAACAAGACATACCTGAAATCTTGCATGTTTATGAGACAGACAAAAGACACCAGCAATCCTACCATCATGTAAAACAATTACAGGTTTTCATTGTACACTCACTTGGCAGGACGGTAGTATCTCCCTGGGTGGTTGCTGTTTACCAACCTACTACCTAGGTAGTGTACTATATATTGTAATAAACAGAATACAGGAAATCAGCTCTAATATGCATTATTTAGGTATGCATATTGGTCAGAGAGCCCTTCGTAAGTCCTATTCATCGGTAAATGAGTAGGTCACAAAGTGAGGAGAGGCTGTAATGCAGTAGTCTGCAAAACAGTAAATCTTTTATTTTTTGTAAATAAAAATTCAAAATGGAAAGCATGTAGGAGAGGCCAAAGGACATGACCAATGAACAGTGGAAATGTTTTTGTGCCAAGAATGTCTACAATGTTTATTTTGAAATTGGCAATTTTTTAATTTTGTGTGAAATTGACCAAATTACTGATTTCTATCACTTTATTGGGTAGCTGAAATAGGTAAATGAGCAGTTTCTTGTACTAAATCATAGAACTGAAGGAATACTAGTGAAATAGCTATGAATTTAGTCAACTGGAACAAAGGAATTGGCCAAAAATAAAGCTCGAAGTGGGCAAAATTGCAGATGTGTAAATATCACCAAGACTGCTAAATTTGCGAGAGATTAATTCCATAATTTTTCCATAAAATTTTGTACTTTTGGTTTCATTACCTTCAAAAAAAAAAGACAATTATTTCATAAGAATTTTTTTTTGCTTTTAAATTCTCCGACCCTGAGAGCAATTATCAGATCAGGGGTTCCGACCCTGAAAGGATAAACTGATCAAGTATGAAAAGAAAATGAAAGAACACATACAAGTGTGTAGATTCAAGTATTTTTTAACCAAGTGAGATAATAATTGCTGTGGGGAACCTAAATGCTGAAGTGGGAGAGGGTGTAGTTAGTGCAAGTGGGCACTCCAAACTTACCTACCACACTGCAGTAGGTAAGTTTGGAGTACCTGGGGTAAATGATAATAAAGGGGCTACAAACGAGCTATGTATGGGTTTGATAATAGATAATACATACCTTAAGAAAAAAAGAGGATAAGTAAGTACAGTAAACCCTTAATATAAGGACTTTTAAAATAATAATCAAAATCCATTGGTTAAATTGAACTTTCAACTCTTTTATTTTCAATGCTTATTTTAACCCTTTGACTGTCGCGGTCGTATATGTACATCATAGGAGATACCGTGGTGTTTGACGTATCTATACGCATAAATTCTAGCGGCTTCAAATCAAGCAGGAGAAAGCTGGTAGGCCCACATGTGAGAGAATGGGTCTCCATGGTCAGTGTGC